GTTGGTTGGGGAGTGGACCGGTGCACAGCACAACCTGTATCCAAGGCAGCTGCAGGCCTGATGGCGGGGGTGGGTTGGCAGTCCTATGGTGGGAGCTAAGGGTGCTCAGGGCTGGGAAACCACTGTGGTCCCTTTGGATGTGTGTGGGGGAGTGGGGCTCCCCAGGAAGGCAAATCTCTCCTTTTTAACTGTTGTGCCTCTGCCCCAGAATGCCCTTTTCTCTGCCCAGATGCCCTTGGTAAACATTTGAGTGGGAAGCTGAGCTGTGGTCTTTGACAGGAACTTAGAGCCCTCTTTGCCCTCTGTCCTGTCCAGGAACTGAATCCTCAGTGAGGGCATTGGCCTGGGGCACCTGGCCCCCAACTGAGGCTTGTCTGAAATCCTACTCTGCCTGGTCATCAGCAGGGTTCCCTGGTGGGCTCTGCACCTTGGGTGCTTGGAGCAGCAGGAATGTCTGTTACAATTCCCAAGGCTGCAAGTCTGGGGGCAACCTGTTGGCCAGGCTGGACCCTCCTGGAGGGCTGTAGGGAAGATTCTGCCCCAGCTTCCAGGGCCTTCCTGGCAGGTATGGCTGTTCCTGGTTGTGGTGCTCTGAGTCTGTCTGCTGATTTCCCTTCTCAGAAAGACATAAGTCACTGTTCCCATTCGAAATTGTCTACACCTGCAGTCACTGGGCACAGGTGCAGGACACACATCTGCCCACACCTGCACTGCTGCCCTCCCTCCTGAGCCTGTTGGAGCAGGATTCAGACCACAGGGCCTGCCTCCTTGGCTGGCATCCCCTGCAGGGGGCTGTGGGCCAGGCATAGCCAGCCACGGGCAGTGAGGCTGAGCACCAGGAGCTGGTGCTGCTTCTCCCAGGAGGCAGCTGTGTCAGCTCCACTCCAGTGAGAAGGCCTGGGGGCTGTGCAGCTGAGCCGGGGTGCTGAGGCCAGGTGGGTGTTCCTGTGTCAGGCCCACCGCTGGGCAGCAGGCTGGGTGGAGGTGCCCAGTGTGACCCCTGTCACTTCACATAAAGAGGCCTCTGCCTCACACCCAATCAGTTACAAGGATTTGTAGCCACAGTGACTGCTGGGTAGTGGACCCACTAGCCTAGGAACAGGAAGCATGGTCCAACCCTGTGGCCTACTGAGGCCCTTGGTTTCTAGTCATCCGGGATGGGGACGCCCCCACGCAGAAGTGGGGCCCTCTGTGAAGTCCACCTTGTGACATGCCCAGCCTGGCCCGTGGTTGCCCAGCACGTCCTTGGCCTCAGGAAGTTGATTTCCCCTGGGGCTGCAGACATTTGTCTGGGAGAAGAGCCCTCTGCTCTCTGGTCAGTGTCTTGTCTGCAAGTCACGTTTTGTGACAGATTGGAGCCCAGAGGAGGCAGTCCCACCCTCCAGGTCTGTCAGGGACCCCAGCTGTGATTCAGAGCCAGGTACCTGGTGGCAGGAAAACCACGGCCTGTGTCTGGAGAGCCTGCGGGGCCAGGGCATGGCCAGGGGCTTCTCTGAGAGAAGCTGTGGCCCCCAGCCACCAGGTCCGAGGGTGCTGGAGCAGAAGTATCTGCCTCCCCTTGGCCACTGGCATTTCTGGCCTCAGCTGAGGTGGGTAAAATACACAAGGTATTTGTGAGGCAGCTGAAGAAGTGCCTGCAGACAGATTATTTAGGGCCGGGGGTCGTTGTGGCATAACAAGTTAAGACACAGCTGGCAACACCAGCATCCACGTGGGAAACCTGGCTGGAATTCCGCACTCCTGGCTTTGCCGGGCCCAGCCCTGGCTGTTGCAGCTATTTGGGGAGCGAACTAGTGGATGGAAGATCTCTTTCCCTCTCTCGGTAACTTTCAAGTAAATTAAATAAACCTTTACAAAAAAGCAGCAATGTTTTTATTTTTATTTTTTAAAGATTTACTTATTAATTTGAAAGTATAATTACAGAGAGAGAGGTCTTACATCTGCTGGTTCACTCCCCAATTGGTTGCAATGGCTGGAGTTGCACTGAACCAAAACCAGGAGCTTCCTTTGGGTCTCCCACGCGGGTGCAGGGGCCCAAGACTTCAGCCATGTTCCACTGCTTTCTCATACCAAAACGGAGACCTGGATCAGAAGTGGAGCAGCCGGGAATTGAAACCAGCACTCATATGGGATGCCAGCACTGCGGGTGTGGCAGTTTTACCCTCTAGGCCAAAGTGCTGGCCCCAGCAACAATGTTTTAAAATAAATTAAAAATAATGATCTTTTTGAAAGGCAAAGTGAGTGAGAGATCTATCTGATGATTTCCCCATATGTTTGCAACAACTAGGGCTGTGCCAGGCAGGAGTCAGGAGCCCAGAACTTTATCCAGATCTCCTGTGTGGGTGGCAGGGACCCAAGCAATTGAGTGAGCATCCGTTACCTCTCAGGTTGCACTAACAGGGAGCCAGATGGGAAGAAGCGTAGCACACCAATATGGCATTCAGGTGTCCCAAGCAATGGCCTACCCCACAGCACCCCAACATGCACACCCTGAATGTCTCTCTATAAAAGAGGTTATTCAGTGACCAACACCTGCAAAGATGTTCAAGTTCTTGAGTAATCAGGGACACTCAGATGGAGCCTGAAAGCACAGAGCAGTCAGGCAATCACAATGGAAATGACAGCACCATGTTGGCAGGGACACCGGCATGCAAGGGAGCTTGTGCTGTGGGTGTGAAATGCTGCAAGCATTCCAGGAACCCGGCAGTGTCTCCCAAGGCTGTAGAGATGCAGCTTCAATGCCATCGCTCCTCCACTACATAGATACCTGACAGATCTGTGCCACGTCACCAAAACCTGTGCCAGAGTTTAAATACCAGCACTCAGAGCCCCTACTGGAAAACACTGCCATGTGCCTGATGGTGAATACTCACACAATGATTCTACGCTGACAAAGCTGAGACACAGCAAAGTGCAAGAAGACAAGTTCAAGTCAGCCTTTGGAATCTGAAAGGCCAGGTAGAGTCCCTGCCCTCCGACATCATTTAAAGCAAGTGTCAGGTGTCAGTTGACCCTCTGTGTGTTAGCACTGGTGCCTGAGGCCCTGGGATTTCCCTCAAGTGTGCCTAGCATCTGCAAAGCTCCCAGGTGTGTCAGAAACATTTCCTAAGACAGCTCTACCTGAGAGGAATTGAAGACAAATGTGCCATCAACAGGCAAGGTGCTGACCCTGCAGCACTGCTGTCGCCTCGCAGGTTGAAGATGCAAGTTCCAGTGAAAATGTGGGGACATAGAAAAGTTAATACAGAGAAGATGGAAAATGAGAAACAAAGCAAGTGTCAGGAAGGGGCACCTGCTGCCATGAAGCCCAGCCCTTAGTGTGTCTATTGTTCACAGAAAGAGATGGCTTGTTCCTATGAAAAGCAAGCAAAACATTCATTTGGATGTCTTAGGGATACTAGCCATTAATGTGTCCCGTGGTGATACAGATATCAAAACAAACTTTTTTTTTATAATTTTAGATTTATTTTTCTGCAATTCATTCACAACATTATCCCCTAAAGGTTGAATTTTCTACAGTTAAAAGTCATCCGATGTTTTTGAAATGTGCCTATAGGTGACTGGAGGGCGGAGCCAAGATGGCGGAATAGTGAGGGCGCGCACCGATAGTCCGGGAAAATTTAGTTTAATAAAAGGGGAGTTACGGTAGCCTCAGAAAAAAGAACCAGGAAAATATTGCAGACAAAACTCTTCTGGATCCAGTGGGCGTGAATCGGAGGACCTACTGGGAGAACAAGGTCGCCCACCGCCCGCGAAAGCCGAACCACAGGACCGAGCCGCGGGACTGAGCCGCGGAAGCCGAGCCGAGGGACGGAGCTGCGCGCAAGTGCTCGAAGGGGAGTGCAACAGCGGGGAGACTTGGGAAGTCCAGGGCTCCGAGTCCACACATCGGCGCTGGAAGGGGAGCAGACCTGCGTGGAGAGCGTGGGAGCCCACAGTTCGGGACGTCAGCGGCAGACTCAACACACCAGCGCTGGAACGCGAGGTGAGCCGAACCTCAATAACCCGAGACACCGGCAGGCAAGCGGAGAGAGGAGACTAGAGGGAACGACCCCCGGGGCGGGGGGGACTTCACCAAGCTAACTGGAAGAGAGAGAGAGGGAAAAAAAAAAAAAAAAAAGGTGACTGGTATGGACACGGGTTTCTCTCTCTCCGCTCACCTCTCAAGGGCGAGCAAGACAAAGAGCAGGCGCCATCTTGGACATACGTCATAAGCAGAGCGACCTCAGGTCTGCACCGGCCCTGAGCCTAGCAGTAAAACCTGACTCTGGGTGGGGCGAATTAACAGGAGATTAGGACTTAGTAAATTTATGGTGCTACTGAACTGAGACTGTGAAAAAAGAGACGGTGGGGGAGAGAACTCACGGAATTCACGTGAGCACTCTCCAGAGACGCTACAATTCCGTAACGTTGGCAACCCAGTGGGAGACTGAAGGAGAATTTGAACGCACTCTAAGGGCCGAACAGATTCCCTGTGTGGTCCTTGGGAAAGAGCTTCTGATCTCTGGCTCCTGTGGGTATATCATTTGCCTGCTAACTACCTCCAACTTTGTTCAGCTGTGCAGAATAACTTCCCTGTTGAATCAAAAAAAAAAGAGAGAGAGAGAGAGAGAGAGAGAGGTTTACCACGCCTAACCTGGGAGTGTCACCTTTGGCACACCAAACAGAGCTCTCAGGCCACACCCATCTCAAGCCCTAAGGCTCCATCAAAAACAGATAGTCCACTTAATCTAGAGTCATAGTATAACAAGAAAAAGCACCACAGTGAAGAAACCAAATATCTCCAATATGACAAATAACAAACGCAAAAACCAAGG